CATTCATTCATTCATTCATTCATTCATTCATTCATTCATTCATTCATTCATTCATTCATTCAAAGATTCATGATCATAATTGCGCATTCATTCATTCTGTCATTCATCAATATATTCGCTCAGCAATTCATTCATTCATTTATTCGATGCACCTTCACCCACAAAAATAACTGATAAGTCAAGGTAAAGGTATAAGCATAAATTTAGAAACATTCATTCTTTAGTTCACCATCTAATTTGTTCGCTAATTCATTCACTCACTTATGCATTAATTCAATCATTAGCTCATTCAGCTATTCATTGATTCGTTCGTTTGTTCTTTCATTCTTTAACATACTTAGTGATTTATACGTTAAATGGTATGTACAAAAACTGACAGATTACAGCAAACTGATACATATGGACTGCCAGTTGAGCTGGAAGTATGCTTCTGACACTTTGGTACAACAGCCGAATGGCGGATAGCATGTCAATTACCTGTGAAAATAAGGACAGCATGGTTCTCAGTCACACAAAGAGTACAAAGTGTACGGTAATGATATCTGATGCGCTCGCCGTATGGCTGCAGGTTGCTTTTACACATGGTTTAAAACGTAAATTAGAAAAATTTCTTCTCCTAAGTTTTTCTTCTACAATTTCCTATTCTTCTCCTGTTTGACATATCTGAGGACGCCGTTAAGTGATCAGCATTAGAAAGTAACTTGAGGTTTCAGAGTTAAAGGCAAATCAAGTATAAATCTTCGAGAGGTAGAAGAAAACTCCGGCAAGCTGTTTACACAGGTCAATATCTGGAACGATGAGAGAAAAGTATACATAATAGAACAAACGTTTTGTCATCATTTGAGTGACAACTGCTTAGTGGACAATGGCTAAAAGCATACATAATCAGTGAAGTCACTCCTTGAGGTTGAACAGAAAACGACCAAAGAGAATGACCTGAGTACGTGTGCTATCGCCCATTTATACCTGGGAATTTTTCGCTACCGTACCGGGATATACTGTACTGCACCTGGCTATCGACCATGTCAATACAGTAATCTCGAGGATACAGACAGGGTCATTTCATCTGTTCAAACAATTGAAGCTGCAGATCTCTCCTTTGGTGAATCGGTTTGACTCTCACTTTGGATGTTTACTTTATGTTACTACGTGCACGATTGTTATCTGTATCACTCTACAGAAGCAGACCGTTCTAAAATGATTCAGTATATCTATTTCTCATACCAGCAAAATTCACCGTATTGTAAGAAAGGCCATATGGCTAGAACAACTTTTTGCGGGATAATGCCACCCCTGTATGTGAAGCTTTTGAATGGATCATCTGACTATCCATGCATCAAAAATTTTTGAATACTGTCAAAGAGATTCTGACCAAAACGGAACATGCCAAGGGACATATATAGATAGATATATATATATTCTGTTTACTTTTGGGAAATAGAAGCGATGAATAAAAATCTTTCAAAGTTTTTCACTAATTGACAATTATTATGGACCGGATTCAATTGAAGAACAAGGTAAACTGTTTAAAACTGTACTCAGGTCATCAAATAGTATGCCCATGC